AGTAGTAGTAGTAGTAGTAGTAGTAGTAGTAGTAGTAGTAGTAGTAGTAGTAGTAGTAGTAGTAGTAATAGTAGTAGTAGTAGTAGCAGTAGCAGTAGCAGCAGCAGTAGTAGTAGTAGTAGTAGTAGTAGTAGTAGTAGTAGTAGTAGTAGTAGTAGTAGTAATAGTAGTAGTAGTAGTAGCAGTAGCAGTAGCAGCAGCAGTAGTAGTAGTAGTAGTAGTAGTAGTAGTAGTAGTAGTAGTAGTAGTAGTAGTAGTAATAGTAGTAGTAGTAGTAGCAGTAGCAGTAGCAGCAGCAGTAGTAGTAGTAGTAGTAGTAGTAGTAGTAGTAGTAGTAGTAGTAGTAGTAGTAGAGTAGTAGTAGTAGTAGTAGTAGTAGCAGCAGCCGACGCGTCCATATATACCTGTGTATGTTACAGCGCCCGAGCAATACGTGGCGTTAATAGAGCTCTCTGGCAACACTCCTAAAGTAGGCATGAAACACGACTGCACCATCAACGCACGGGCGCAGATAAACCATCAACACACACAACCACACATACACACACGTATATATATACCACGAAGACACAAACGATCTAAGAAATGTCGTCCGTTCAGAAAGTCGACGACTAGAGGCACATAACGGCGCTCGCAGAACGGTAAAACCAACGATATCACATATATATATCTCTCTATATGTGTAGAAGCGCTTTGCTGATGCAGTCGCGCGCGCGCGCGACAGACACTCCTTTGCGCTATGTGGCTTGCTGCTTCTGTGACCAGCCGTCGGCATACAGCCACTCGTAATATACTTGCCCACGCAACACCTACGGAAGCTACAGCGAAGATCGTGGGCGGCTGCCATCGTCGCGTGCGTACATGCGCCGGCAGGGTCGACAACCGACGGATGCGCGTGAAATGACACGCCGTCGATTCGATCGACGGCAGATTTTTTTAAGGTCTCAGAGACAATTACCACGGTATATATGATATATACATATGTCCTTATCGCATGTGCTGTGCGCGTATATTTGTGGAGAGTATAACTGATCAGTGGTGCGCCGCTCCCACAGCTGTGAATGGTGCGACGTCCTGTGTGCACGTCACGTCACTCGGCCAACCGGCGTGATGTCACCGCGTAGGTATGACGCCACCGGAAGCTATTCACTAGCGCGCACGCATAGAGTTCGCAGCGTTCAGCCCACGCACTAACGCTCGCGGCTGCTATCGAAAGGTCAGCACGTACGGACGCACGCGCGCACAATCACATCACACAGGCGCGCACGCGCGCGCACCGCGTCACTACTCCTGAATACGCAAGAGCTAGACAGACGTTCACGACGTACACGCGCGCGTGTGATTGCGCGCACGCACGCGTGTACGCACGCAGATTCGCCACAGCAGCAGAGACGACGCGCAGACGACTGACACCCATCCCCCGGCAGAGATGCTCTGTGAGGCGTCGCTGCTCTCACTTTTTCCCTTTACGGTGATGAAATACCTGTTTAGTATACTCGCGAGCGACTAACCCGTGGGCGTGCTAATATATAAGAGCTATCGTGCGCCGCCGAATCCGTGGGCAGCAAGAAAGTCACCTAAATGCGTCGTCCGCCCCCGCACGCCCACGCGCCACGCAGACCGCTGCGACACCTGCGCATATCGGCGGAGCATCCTGACATTTAGCGACGCGTAGACGCGCGCCGACGCCCCCGCAGTGCGCGGCGCGCACGGGCAGTGCGCAGGCGCGCGCGCCCATCTAGCGTCGTGCGCGCAGCCGATGACCGCGCGGCATTATGTGAAGCTTAACTATTAATTTATCTTCTGACTTTTTGTCGCCACTTTGACCTTTCAGGAAATCCCAGTAAGACTACCCGTACGTGCGGAACGCGCAAGGTTCAATTCGCATCTCCGCACAATGCGTTTATTCGTGCCAGCATCTCATATAAAAGCCAGATGCCTGCTTACATCTACGATAGATTTCCCATATTCCGTTTCCCTCCGTCTGCTTACCACGATTCTTGTGATCCCGAACGACGAATCCACGACGGGAACATCCTGTTTAAAACCGCATCCGCGCACGGTAGCCCGAGCGTGGGTGCGCTGCTGTGATTTTCCCACCTTTCCTCGTGCGGGTCACGTACTGCGAACGCAGTAACACGGACAACGTTGGCACGTCGCAGCAGCCAGCCAGCACCTCCGACACGGCACAGACGTATACGAATTCAGACGCTCAACGCGGACGACGGACGCTGCACGGCGCTGCGGTGTCGTCCGCCGTCGCTCGCCACGCATCTATATATAACCGCGGTGCCAACACACCGTGTCGCTATTTTTTCTCCCGCCCGCCCCGCACGTGCGCGCGCCGCACCTGTATAGAGAAAACGCCCTCATTCGGAATGTGGTGCGGAAATTGTCGAGTGACTGGTTCTGTGACTGCATGCTGCCGCGTGGTGCCCCCGACACAGCGGCTGCTATCATGGGCGTGTCCCCACGAGGAGATCTGCACTTTCACTATCCCCTGCTTCCAAATCTTCCGAACGGGAACGGACCATGCGGGGATGAGGGGGGCGGGGTGTCGGGGTTTCACGCGCGGGGGGGGGGAATTGTTGTTCTCTGATTAGTCCTGTGTCTTACAATCGGGTGTTAATTGTCTCTCCCCGCCCCGCCACACAACAAGAGAGCATCAGTTATAGATGCCTACGTCATTCAGCAATTATAATATCCTATTATTTGCTCGCTAGCGACAGCTTAAGTTGTTTTGCGTGCCAATGTTTTGTCGGGGGGAGGGAGGGGGAGAAAGTAGTATTTCCAGTATGCGAGCCGAACAGTGGGAATACGCTAACAATGGTACCAGCTCGAGATCTTCCTACCATGGTTCGTAGCGCACAGATCAACGTTGTCCCTGTACTGAGAACGAGCCGCGCGGACACACGGGTGAAAAGAGAAAGGGAATTTGCCCTAAGGTGGAAGAAGGTAGAGTGCGGAATGCTCTCGTCTCGAATACGAATGCGTGTCTTGGAGATACAGGAATGTTTGTCTGGGGTTGAATCGAGCTCGCTGGCCGCTGTGTAGCCCGTCTCTGTGGCGTGCGCGAATTTTCCCATACAATTACCCGACAATTTTGATAACGAGTTTATGCTATCTATCTGTTTATGCGTCTATATATCATAAGTCGTCGTCACAACGACGATGATACGAATATATATACGATATAAGTATATATATATATATATAAATATATACGGTGGTTGCTAGCGATGAAGATCTTAAAGTAAGCGCGGCGCACATTCTCACAAACAGAGAAAAACAATGTAGATTAACATCGTCTTCGACAAGTGACTCGTTGCAGAATAGCTACGACAGAACGTCGATGTTGTTATCTGAACTTGCTGCTGAAGGCAATGCGGCAATCTAACTGCAACGTTAGACGTCATAGGCTATCGTCCGTTCATAAATACAGTAATATATATATATATAATACTATATATATATATAAGATGATAATATATTAGATAAACACAA